TTCGCCAGATCCTGGGATTTCCTCTGCCTTTTGCCTATCTTGGCCTTCCTGTTTCCTGTATCTTCCTATTTCTTGGTTAATTTCCTCATTTGGGTGAAGCACATCTTTAGTAGCTTCCTGAGAAAGGATGCATGGGATTTAAATTTTTTAAGACCTTGCATGTCTAAAAATGCCTCCTCCCCCTCATGTTTAAAATGCAATTGGAGGTTGGAAACAATTTTCTTCAGAATTTTGAAGCTATTTCTCTATTGTCTTTTAGTCTCTGGATTTGGTTTGAGCAGTTTGGAGCCAAATATTTTCTTACCACTGCTTCCACTCACCTCCCACACACTTTGTGTATATATGTGTGTGTGTGTGTGTGTGTGTGTGTGTGTGTGTGTGTGTGTGTGTTATATTTATATATATATTATGTATTGTAAATGTTATACATATATATTACTTATACATATGTATAATATATATATATAATTTTTTGTTCCCAATGCCTGATGTTTTACTGTGATATATGCCCTAATATGAGTTGTTTCCATCCTAACTTTCATGTATGGATCCTCCTGTACTGGTCCTTTAATTTTTAATGTGTTCTTATTTTTCATCTTTTTGATGAAGTTTCTGAAGGACTTGCTGAACTTGATCCTCCAGCACTTGTGTTGTTTTTTATTTCAGCTATCATAATTTTAATTTGTTGTTTTCTGAAATTCTCTTATTTTTTGTTATTGTATGTATTGCTTTTTGGTTGCAATATCTTCTATCTCCCTGATATTAATGATAGTTTCTTAAAAAATGGTTCCCTTTCCCTGCATAGTCTCGGTTTTGGCCAAGTAATTTCTTTTTCTGTTTGTTTTGTTTTCTTTCATGAAAGAGTTGTTCCTTGGATAGCAGGTGATTCCTGGTTGTTTACATGTATTTGAGAGTGGGACTTAAAAAGATTTGGAAGTCAGTTCTCCATACAGATGTGGGGCTTGTGGGTGTGGGCTTCACTTTAGAGCCATCTGTCTAGGTTTTTCCTGAGAGTCCCTGATGTCAGTATTTAGAGATCCTGCCTTTTAGGTTAGTCCAGTTCCCTGAATGGGGAGGTTTTAGTCTATTTGGAGAGGCTAGGCAGGATAGAGGGGTGTACTAGTCAAGGTTCTCTAGAAACTCAAAACCAGTATGAGGTATATGTAAATATTATAGGAATTGGCTCATGCTATTATGGAGACTGAGAAGTCTCATGATATGCTGTCTGCCAGCTGGAGAACAAGGAAAGCCAGTGGTGTAATTCATTCTCCGTGCAAAGGCCTTCGAACCAGGAGTGCTTAAGACTGAGGGCAGGAGAATATGGGTGTCCCAACTCACTCTTCCTGCACCTTTTTATTCTATTTGGGCCTTCAATGGATTAAATGATGCGCACCCACATTTGGGAGGGCCATCTGCTTTAATCAGTGCACCAATTCAAATGCTAGTTTATTCCGGAAACACCCTCACAGACATATCCAGGAATGTCTTACTAGTTATTTGGGCATAGATAACTCAGATAAATTGACACATAAAATTAACCATCATAAGGGGCATGTGGGTTGGGGAAGTTATCAGTAAGTTTCTAAATCTTCCCTTAATTTTCTTTTTTTCAGTAGAGTAACCCCACTTTATGCTGTGCTTGGTGTTTTCCAGACCAGAGATCCTCTGTCTCACCCTCTCCAGAAAGTAATTCTCTAGGTTTCTGCAAGGGTGAGAGAGGGCATTTGCCTGGCTGAGCACAGTAAAGGGTCGTATAACAGTTGACTCTTTTTGTTCTTAAAATTTTTTTTAAATGTTTATTTTTGGCGGGCACCTGGGTGGCTCAGTTGGTTAAACATCCTACTTCGGCTCAGGTCATGATCTCAACGTTCGTGGGTTTGAGCCTCTTGTCGGGCTCTGTGCTGACAGCTCAGAGCCTGGAGCCTACTTCGGATTCTGTCTCCCTCTCCCTGTCCCTCCCCTGCTCGTGCTCTGTCTCTCTCTCTCTCTCTCTCTCTCTCTCTCTCAACAATAAAAAATGTTAAAAAAATTTTTTTTTCAATATTTATTTTTGAGAGAGAGAGAGAGAAAGAGAAAATGAGCAGCAGGGGAGGGGTAGAGAGAGTGGGAGACCAAGAATCCAAATTAGACTCCATGCGGTGTTAGCACAAAGTCTGACACAGGGCTCGAACCTACGAACTGTGATATTCTGAACCGTGAGAACCTGAGCCAAAGTCAGAGGCTCAACCAACTGAGCTACCCAGGCATCCTAGAACAGTTGACTCTTGAACAATGCAGGCTTGAACTGTGCAGGTCCGATTATACATTTTTTTTTTTTTTTGATAAGTACAATACAGTAGTATAAATGTATTTTTACTTCCTTATGATTTTCTTAGTATTCTCTTTTCTCTAGCCTACCTTATTATAAGAATACAATATATAATACATGTAGCATACAAAATATGTGTTAATCAACTATATGATCAGAAAGGCTTCTGGTCAACAGTAGGCTATTAGTAGTTAAGTTTTGGGGGAGTCACAAGTTATACACAGATTTTCTACTGTGTGCGGGGCCGGCGCCCCAACTTCCATGTTGTTGAAGGGTCACTTGTATTTGATTCTTTTGTATTGCCAACGAATGTTCCACTGTACATATATACCACATTTTGTTTATTCATTCATCAATTGATGGACATTTGGGTTGTTTCCATTTTTTGGTTATTGTGAATAATGTTGTGAGCATTCCTGTATGAATTTTTCTGTGGACATATGTTTTTCTTGGGTTCATACTTAGGAAATACTGGATCATATGGCAAGTGTATGTTTAACTTTTGGAAGAATTGCCAAACTGTTTTCCAAAGTGGCTGCAGCTCCCACCAGCCATGATGAGAGTTCTAATTTATCCACATCTTTGTCAACACTTGTTATTATTTGTCTTTTTTACTTGAGCCATGCTAGTGAGTGTAAAGTGGTATGTCCTTATGGTTTTGATTCGTATTTCCTTGATGGCCAATGAGTTTGAACATCTCTTCATATGCTTATTGGCCGTTTGTTTTCTTTGGAGAATTGTCTGTTCAAATCCTTTGTCCACTTTTAAGTTGGGTTATTAGTCTTTCTGTTAATGAGTTGTAAGAGTTATTTATGTATTCTGGACATGAGTCCCTTATCAAATGATTTATAGTTATTTTCTCCCCTTTGGTGGGTTTTCTTTTCATTTTCTTGATAATGTCCTTTGAAGCACAGAAATTTTTAATTTCAAAGACATCTGATAATATCAGCTTTTTGTTGGCAGGGCGTCACTTGTGCCTTTGGTATCTTATCTGTGTTTTCTTCTAAGAGTTTTACGGTTTTAAAGGTGTTACATTTTGGTCTTTCATTGATTTGAAGTTAATTTTTGCATGTAGTGTGATGTAGCGGTCCACCTTTATTCCTTTGTATATGGATATCCATTTGTCCTGGCACCATTTATTGAAAATACTATTTCCCCATTAAATTGTCATGATGTGTATTAAAAATCAATTGACTATAAATGTGTAAGGGTCTATTTCTGGACTCTCAATTTTATTCTATTGATCTTTCTATCCTTATGCTACTATCATCCTGTCTTGATTGTTGTAACTTTGTAGTAAGTTTTCAGATGGGGAAGTGTGAGTCTTCCAACTTCTTTTTCAAGTTTGTTTTGGTGGGGTGCCTGGGTGGTTCAGTTGGTTGGGCGTCTGGCTCTTGATTTTGGCTCAGATTGTCATCTCATAGTTCCTGGGATCAAGCCTCACATCTGGTTGGGATTCTCTCCTCTCTCTCTGCCCCTCCCCTGCTCATGCTGTCTCTCTCAAAATAAATAAATAAACATTAAAAAAGAAAAGCTTGTTTTGGTTATTCAGATCTCTTGTATTTTCGTATGAATTTTTGGATAAACTTGTCAATTTCTATAAAGAATTCAGGGATTTTGATAGAGATTGTGTTGAATCTAGATCAATTCGGGAAGTATTGCTATCTCAGCAGTATTGTCTTCCAGTGCCTGAACATGAGATGTCTGTCCATTTGCTTAAGTTTTTAATTTCATTCAGTAATGTTTTGTGATTTTTGTTGTACAAATCTCCTTATCCTTCTGTTAAATTTTTTATAAGTATTCTTTTTGATGCTTTTGTAAATGGAATTGCTTTCTTTTTATTTTAATGTTTATTTATTTTGATAGTAAGAGAGAGAGGGATGCAAGGAGTAGAGATGGAGAGAGAGGGAGAATCACAAGCAGGTTCCACACTGTCAGCGCAGAGCCTGATGGGGGGCTCAATCCCTTGAACCATGAGATCATGACCTGAGCCGAAATCAAGAATCAGATGCTTAACCAACTGAGCCACCCAGGAGCCCCTGGAATTGTTTTCTTAATTGCATTTGAGGATTATTCATTGCTAGTATATAGAAATATACCTGCTTTAAAAAATTTTTTATTTGTTGATAATTTTTTAGTAATCTCTGTACCAAAGTGGGACTCAAACCGACTGAGCCACCGAGGCGCCCTATACTTCTATTTTTTTTTTTTAATATTTTAACGTTTATTTATTTTTTTGAGACAGAGAGAGACAGAGCATGAACAGGGGAGGGGCAGAGAGAGAGAGGGAGACACAGAATCTGAAACAGGCTCCAGGCTCTGAGCAGTCAGCACAGAGCCGGACACGGGGCTCAAACTCACGGACCGCGAGATTGTGACCTGAGCCGAAGTCAGATGCTTAACCGACTGAGCCACCCAGGCGCCCCTAAGCTTCTATTTTTTTAATAAAGAGATGTGAAGCATTGATATTAATTCTTTAAACATTTGGTAGAATCCATCTGAGTCTGTGCTTTCCTTTGTTAGTGGTTTTTAAGTTACTAATTTAATGTATTTTTAGGACCAGTTATAAGTAAACATTTAAATTGCAAATACTTATTGATATTTGATTATTCAGTCTTCCTTTCTCATTTATATTACCAAATAGAAAAAGATGTTTATACACCTACTTACCACTTTTTCTTTTCCATTAAAGGTCTGTAATTACTCTGGAATCAGTAAACCATGGCGTCAAAGAAATTTGCTGTTAAAGTAAGTAGCGTTTAATAGCCTTCTCTAAAATGGTTAATCATTTGCTAATATAACTGAGTTCAGTGTGCACTGACAATTGAAGCCCTGAACTTTCCTTCTCCTCTTTAAATTAGGGATTTTACTGACAAGTTTAGGTGATTGAAGATTTGCATGTTAAGAATGAGATGGAGGGGGGCAGCACAGACACTAAAATTGGAACGATGCAGAGAAGGTTAGCACGACCCCTGAACAAGGATAACATGCAAATTCATGAAGCTTCTTCATTTTTAAACTTGCTCTCCCTTGAGAAAAAAATTAAAAATGAGATAGAGGAGAAAATGAATAGTTCATGTGGTTATGAGAGTTGCTTAAAATCTAGGTAAATGCCTTTTGGTCATAACTTTGTCCTTAATGTTGAAAATTGTTATTCACGTTTGTATATCTGTGACATGATTTTTGATTATGACAAAGCAGATGAAAATAAAGAGGTAGGCAGCAAATGCTGCAGGTGGGTGAATGCCTGTACAGAGGTCTCTTGCCTGGCCGTTCTGTGTTGTTTTATTTTTGTAAGTTTCTCTTCTGTCTCTCTTGATGGCTGGGGCTGAGACCTCAAGTGTGGGGGGATGAGGGAACCGTGTGTGAGGGGTGGTAGGGAAGGAGAGGGGAAGAAGTGATAGTATAAGGTCTCTGAGATGCCTTCACCTGTGTTGGCTGTTTAGGACATCTTTTCTATACTAGTGTTACATTTAGTGCATTCAAAACACCAAAACAGGGGCATGTGGGTGACTCAGTCGGTTAAGCATCTGACTCTTGATTTCAGCTCAGGTCATGATGTCACGGTTCGTGAGTTCAAACCTCACAACAGGCTCTGTGCTGACAGTGCAGAGCCTGCTTGGGATTCTCTCTGCCCCTCCAGCGCACGTACATTCTCTCTCGCAAAATAAATAAATAAACTTAAAAACAAAAACACCAGAACAGACAAATTACAGTAGTTAGCCAGGTCAGATACTACTTAATATTGTAATTATATATTATTTTTATCAGGTCATGGCTTATTAGATTTACAACATATTTATACATTTCACTGCTTACAATTATTTCTTGTATCTATGTGTTCTGTAGTATTTCTTTTTATGAGAGATTGTTAAGTGGTGAACTTTCCCTGTTTGTCTAAGAATGTATTTTTTGTCTTAACTCTAGAAAGTTGGTTATAGAAATCTAGGTTGAGCATTATTTGTCCTCAGCACTTGGGAGATATTTTGCCATTGTCTTCTGGAATCTGTTATTGCAACTGAGAAACACTGTAGATACTGACTGATATTTAAAACCACCTTATAACTTAGTGGCTTAAAACACAAGCCATTTCATTCTTACTATTCCAGGTTGCCCAGTATCATTTGGGTCATTTCTCTTTTTGATGATGGCTGGGGCTGCAGTTATCTGGGGACTCCGTTCAGCTGGAACATCAAGCATTATGTACTCACATTGCTGTCAGCTGATACCGTGGTTGGGCTCTCACCTGGGGCTGTTAATTGCTGCCCTTCATTCTCATTCACATGGCTACTCTGTGTGGCTTGGGCACCAACTAGCATGGTGGCTGAGTTTTGAGGGATGGTGTCCCAGAGCAAGAGTTTCTAGAAGACAGAAGTATAATTTAACAGTTCTTTGAAGGCCTGGGCTCAAAAGTCTCAGGTGGCACTTATGCTGTATTCCGTTGGTCAGCACACCCAAAGGGCCCAGCCCAAGGATAGTAGCAGCTTTTGATGCAAGAAGCAGCATATGCTCATAGAGAAAGGAAGAATTGTGGGGGTTCATCTGTGGAAACTAGCCACTACAGAAGTCTGCTGTCTGCCTCATTGTGATTTCTTTCTTGGTTATCAAATTTTTTCTTTCTGGGTCCTCTTTAGATTTTATTTTTGTCTTTGAGGTTTTACAATCTCATTATGAAGTCTGAAGCTTAGGCTTGTTATTTATGTGGTTTGGGAGGCATTGTCCATTCCGACAAATGCTGCTCTGGTAGGCTTGTATGAGTGCTGCTTGGCCATTTGCCTTTTATTGTTTGTCTCTGTGTCCCTACGTTGTGTTCAGAGTGCTTTTTTCTTTTCTTTTTTTTAAAGTTTATTTATTTATTCTGAGAGACAGAGGGATGGGGGTGGGGCAGAGAGAGAGGGAAAAAGAATCCCAAGCAGGCTCCATGCTGTGAGCGTGTGTAGCCCAATGCGGGTCTCAAACCCACGAACTGTGAGATCATGACCTGAGCCCAAATCAAGAGTTGGACACTTCACTGACTAAGCCACCCAGGTGCCCCCAGAGTGCTTTTTATTGGACCTCTTCCAGTTCATTAAAATCTTCTCATCTGTATTTACTTTGCTACTTAATCTGTATTTAATCTACTCTTTAACTTGTTTATTTTTAGTGACTACATTTTTCAGATGAGAATTTGTGTTTGGTTATTTATTTTATTTTAATTTTTTTAATCTTTGTTTATTTTTGAGAGAGAGAGAGACACAGAGAGACAGACAGAGCCCGAGTTGGGGAGGGGCAGAGCAAGATGGAGACACAGAATCCAAAGCAGGCTTTAGGCTCTGAGCTGTCAGCACAGAGCCCAACATGGGACTTAACTCAGGAGCTGTGAGATCATGACCTGAGCTGAAGTCAGATGGTTAACCAACTACTGAGCCACCCAGGTGCCCTGGTTATTTTTTTTTTAATTCAAATTATACCAGTTCTTTTTTTATATATGTATATATACTTGTGCTATTTTAAAAATGTGTTTCTGTATCCTCCTTTTATCTTCTTTATAATTTAAAATTTTTTTTTCAACGTTTATTTATTTTTGGGACAGAGAGAGACAGAGCATGAACGGGGGAGGAGCAGAGAGAGAGGGAGACACAGAATCGGAAACAGGCTCCAGGCTCTGAGCCATCAGCCCAGAGCCTGATGCGGGGCTCGAACTCACAGAGCGCGAGATCGTGACCTGGCTGAAGTCGGACGCTTAACCGACTGTGCCACCCAGGCGCCCCTATAATTTTAAAGTAATTTATTTCAGCCTCTTTTAGATTATTCTGTCACTTCCACTATTATATACTAAGTGCGGAATAAATTGGTGATCAGTGTTCATGTGTGTACTTTTTAATTGCTCATTTTCAGTCACATCCTGCACATGGTCCGTGTGCACGTGCATGCGTGCGCATGTGCGCACACACACACGGTGGAAGGACCTATGAGCCCTGTAGTGCAGCTGAGCACTTCCAAATTTACTTCTGCTGGAGCCACTGGCATTTCAGTGGTTTTGGACCAGGCTTTGTATTAATTTCATGGCTTGGGATTCCACCACCTTGTGGGTAGTACAACTTTGCAACCCACAATGGAGTCTGGCACGAGGTTGGTGTTTTGAGTATTTTCCAGTATTTTCCTTGCTGTTTTCCCTTCCCTTCCCCCTATTGAAGCCCTGGATTGATGGCAAGCTTCCATGTTGCTTCCTTGGTCTGCAGGCAGTGATTTTCTTTTTTTTTTTTAGTTGCATTTTCATGAAGGTCACAGTTTATCAAGAGAATGAAGGCGAAAGCTCTGCTGAATAGTTCCTGCTCCAAGAAATTATGGACAAACTGACCCATTGTGAACCAGAGTATTAATATATGGGGATATCTACAAATCCAGTACTTATTTATGTGTCAAGCATTGTGCAAAGAACTGAAAGTTGAAGTTCTTAACAGCTCTGAGCTTAACTGGAATGAGTTTCTTCCCATCCCTCCTTTCTCTTTTTTCCTTTTTGGGCATTAGGATACCAGCTCTCAACTATCATGGCTCCCACACATTCTGACCAGCAGGCTTGAACCTTCCAAAGGGGTGATTTTTTTTCTCCTTCCTGCTTTATTGAGATATTACTGACATACAACATTGTGTAAGCTTAAGGTATATAAGGCAGTGATTTGATATGTGGTGAAATGTTTTACCACAAAAAAGTTAGTTGACACATCCTTTACCTCACATAATTACCATTTTGTTGTTCTTATGTAAGAACATTAAAGCTTTACTCTGGTAGCAACTTTCAAGTATACAATACAGTATTGTTAACTGTTGTCACATTAGATCCCCAGAACCCATTCATCTTATAACTGGAAGTTTAACCTTTTGACCAACATCTTTCTGTTTTCCCCACTACTTGGCCCCTGACAACCACCATTCTGTTCTGTGTTTCTATGAGTTTGATGTTTTTAGATTCTATATATAAGTGAGAGCATACGTGATTTGTCTTTCTCTGACTTATTTCACTTAGCATAATGCCCTCAAAGTCTGTCCATTTCTCACAAACAGGATTTCCTTTTTTTTAAGCGGCTAAATCGTATTCCATTGTGTATTTATGCCACATTTTCTTTATTCATTCATTCATTGATGGACATTTAGGTTGTTAGGTTGTCACAATTCCCATTGTGAATAATGCTGCAGCAAACATGGGGTGCAGATAGTTCTTTGAGATAGTGATTTCATTTCCTTTGCATATATACCCAGAAATGGACCGGTTAGATCACAAAGTAGTTGAAGTTTTAGTTTTTTGAGGAACCTGCATACTGTTTTCCATAATGGTTACACCAGTTTGCATTCCCACCAGTCATGCACCAGCCAGGGTTCCCCTTTCTCCACAGTCCCACCAGCATTCCTTTCTCTTGGTCTTGTTGATAGTAGCCATTCTAGTAGGTGTGAGGTGATACTTGGTTTTGATTTGCATTTCCAAAGGAGGGATTATTAGTATTGTTAGGGGTTTATTTATTTACTAGGCTTCTCAGACAGAGAACCATCTTTTGGCTTTGATTTTCTTTTTCCTGTAGTGTACTTGTTTTCTGTTTTTTGGAATTCTTTCTTATTTTATTCTTTTTGAGCAAATGTGCTTTCTCCAATTTAAGGTGAAAGCTTAAATCATGAACCTTTTCTAATGTATTTACTTAAAGCTATAAATTTTTCTCTCTAAATGTTTACTAGTTTAATTGTATCCTTGTTTTGTTAGAGATGCAGTTAAAGAA